CAATTCCTGTCCCGGCTAGAAAGGATTGTGATTGATACATTATAGGATTGAGCCCAGTGGGAGAGACAAAAACATCAGGCCCAACAGTCATCATATCATGATCTGATTTCCACACCAGTGCTTGAATCCTCCTCTCTGTTGTATCTGTGACTTTTATCTAATCTTCCTTTTGCCTATGATTGACAGTAACTTCATTTTTGCCAGAGTCACCCACAACACCCACCAACGGCAGCTTAGTCTCCAGAGAAGAATTATAAGCTCCCCTAGCATAATTTTGCCCTAGATTGGCGACCCTCAGAACATCCTCAGCACTGTCAGGCACTAACTGAACTCTCTCTTTTATATTTTCCTTGGGACGCGAAGAATTAATACCTTCTGATGGAGTTTGCAGCTGAATAAAAATCTCCTGATGGAACAATTGAGCTTCCTCACAGTGAGAGCCGGTTGGCGCCGGAACCTGTGGACCGGTAGAATTGGCCTCTGAAACTTGCAAACGAGAATATACCGCTTGTGAAGAAACTGGAGTAGTGGGAGAGGAGGGTTGCCACGGAGATGAAACCTGCGAACTCAGCGAATCTGGTAGCGACGAAGCTGGTGCACTGGACGAAGTTGGTGCGCTGGATGAAGCTGTTTGTGATGGTGAACTGTGAGGAATGACAATCGACGTTGATGAATTTGTGCTTCCAGAGTTCCTACAACGCTTCACGGTTCTGGAACGTCCTCTAGGTCGCCGGCGATTTTGTTCCTTCAGCTGGTTACACAGGTCGATCTAACTCGTTTGGGCCTCAGCCATCCTCTTGACTATCCGCGATCGAGTCTCAGCAATAGTCAGTTCCAATTTCTCCAATCGCTGCTCCATCAGTACTCTGGTGATGATCCGATTCGGTCTGTGTCTCCAGGAGCGTGAGTGCTCTGATACCAATGATATGTAGGCATCATCCGCTATCGCAGACGAAATCACGAACTTCTTTTCTAAGTTCGCAATCACGAACTCTTTCTTAGACTTCATCAATGGCCATCAGTTCGCGCCCAAGACAGACGCGATTGAGAGGAGAATCTTCATCGTCTCCAATCGATTCTCACGGTTTGTCTTCTTCCTCTCAAGCCGTTTATCTGAGTGCGCAAACAGTTTCTTCGACGCAGGCTTCATCATCTTCGCCAGTAGATTCTCACTCGTCACCTTCTTCTTCACCAAAGGATTTTCATTGTTCGTTTTCTTCCTCTAAAGTCGCTTCTCAAAATGTAGCTTGTTCTAAGACGGAGGAATTACCATTATTCAACGAGGATGAAGTATACAATTGGATAGTGTTAGGGACCCGGTAGAATGAGAGTAAATAAGAAGAGTAATAGCTAGAGTAGTATAAATAGAATAATAAGCTGGGAGAAGTCAGGTAGGCTTTTGGACTCTTTGTCTTGGGATTTGGGAAGACTGAGACTAATAATCTCTTTCTTTGGGAGCTTCGGCTTTGGGGGCTTCTGCCTTTGTACAGATTACTGTTCATCTTCTTGGATTCAATAAAGTTTTTCCATTGTGTTTCTTATTCATCCTTCTGTAATTGTTCTGGATTCCTGGAGGTTCTAACAGATAGATAGGATGGAAAGATACTTCCGAGTCAAAGCTATTGCAGAAAAATTTAAGGTTGACGTCGCAGTTGAGGCTATGGATGAAAGAGCGTTTGGATGGTTTCATTGGTGGGAATCGCAAACGAGAGAAGATAGTTGGAAGGCTCTAAAGGAAGCAGGGATTAGGCATTTTCCACCTAAATGCCGACAGAAGACAGGGAAGACAGAAAGCCTAGTATCATCGAGGTCGCGAAGAACTTCTTCCAATCCTCTACATGAACTACTGTTACTCCATGTTCGAAATCGAGTACCGCATTGCCCAGCTCGCTAATTGTTCATCATCCTCGATCATCATCAGGAGGAATGTCTACTGGTTTGCAGATTTCAGTCCAAGAAGCGACTCCCAATGCGCTACTTTCAGCATACCTAAAGCAATCATCCAATTCAAAAGCTATAAATGTTAGCACAACAGGAGAAGGATCTCCTGGGGGGCTACAGCTGGACATGAACATTGAATTGAAGTCGTCTGCACTTTCAGTTCAACAATTCAGAACAAATGAAATGATGATGATAGAAGGAAGTGAAGCTGTACTCTGAATGGGGATCCACAGAATTATGACTGATGCACTTGGTGTTGAAGGAGTTGATTTTGTATTCTCATGCACTAAATTTTGCTTGGTTTCAGTGTTGCATCACGCCGACAAAGAGGTTCAGGGCATGAACACAAATTCTGCTACTGGTGTAAGTGATACACCATATGAAAGTATGAAAACATTTGTGGCTATTAAAGGCCTGAAGACTAAGGAAGAAAATGAAACTTCACCGGAAATACTATATGCTGCAGAAACATCTGTGAGTTGGAAAGATCAAGTACTGAAGCACCTCACTCAGAAATCAGTGAGGTATTGGGAAGGTAGAAGCCCCAGGATGAAGAGGAAGAAGAAGATCATGGATGTTTCCTATCACCCACCTTGAGGACAAGGTGGTTGTTTAAGGGGGAAGATATGTTAGGGACCCGGTAGAATGAGAGTAAATAAGAAGAGTAATAGCTAGAGTACTATATATAGAAGGGGAGTGGGTAATAAAGTTAGGCTGTTTTGACTTTTGTCTTGTACTGGGAAGTTAGAGACTAATAATCTCTCTCTTTGGGGGCTTCGGCCATTTGGGGGCTTCGGCCATGGTTATTGTCTTCTTCAATAAAGTTTGTAGTTCTTGTTCTTGATAATTCTTTGTGAATTTTCTGTAAAATTGGTTAGCTCTAACAGCATAAGGCTGCGTAAATCTGACCCCCCTTACCCCACCGTAGGTGGACGCCTTTGCGGCACTGGGGTAATGATGATGATGAATTGTTTTTATTTTCTCTGATAAAATTGGACTATAAGGGTTTTTCCTGCAATAATATTACTAAAATAGAATTCATGCACAAAAATATGACTACATGTACATGGTCATTGTAGTTACTGCCAAAATATCACCTTGATCACAGACATCACCATTTTCACCTGTCATTCCAAAATTGGCTATGGTTACTGTGTATTAAAAGTCACAATTTGTACATTATTTTTTATTTCAGTCATAAATGTCATCATTTGTGGACTTTTAGCAATAATTATGTAAAGTAATTAACAAGAATAATATTACTAAAGAAGAATATTATAAGTGAAGCATAAGAAATCTCAAGTTTGGTTGCGTTTAGGGGCATTGCAAGGATTTATTGTTACCACAAGCATGGCCATGGCAATGAAAGTTGTAGTCCATCAAACTCGAACTTCATACTTATGTTTGGAGCAGTGCAAGTCCTACTAATTAAGCCAAATTCCAAATTTTCGTCAAATCTCATTTTTCTCCATAATTGCTGCCCTCAAGTCCTTTGCCTACTCTTCTATCGGGCTCGCTCTCTCCGCTACTAAAATCGCAAGTAATGCTAATATACTTATATTTATACATGAAAGTTAATTCTACAAAGGAGTTTTTTCCACTTTTGGTCCCCCGACTATTATGTCAATACACTTTCGGTACTCGATTTCTAATTTTTCCATTTTTAGTTCTCGACTATTGTGCTAGAGACACTTTTAGTCCCTGACTTCAAGATTTCCCACATTTAGTCCCTGAGTATTGTCAAATCGACACTTTTAGTCCTCTCATTATGATTTTGACACAATAAGTGGAGGACTAAAAATGTCACTATTATAATATTTGAAGGACCAAAAGTGTCACTTTTATGAAAGTTGAAGGACTAAATATGGAAATTTTCAAATACGGGTACCAAAAGTGTCTCTAGCGCAATAGTCAAAGACTAAAAATGGAAAAAAACAAAGTCAAGTACCAAAAGTGTCAATGACATAATAGTCGGAGGACTAAAAGTGGAAAAAACTCTTCTACAAAGCCATTACATATACAACAACATCCAAGCCATACATATATGCTTCTTCGTAAATTACAACTTCATTGTATTGTACTACCTCCGTTCTTTATTAATTGCAACAATTTGACTTTCACGTTTGACAATGTATAACTTAGACGGTATTATATTTAATTACGTATTCATAAACATTATAAAAAGTTATTATTTTGGAAATTCAAATTAATAGAAACTTAACAGTAATTTATACATAATAATTTGATCAAATATATATATATATATATATATATATATATATATAAGTAAAAAATCATGGTCAAAGTAATAGTGCAAAACTGCAAATAGTGCAAATATCCCAATGTTGCAACTATTAAAGAATGGAGGAAGTATGATTCTAATTATTTTGGTTATCTGGGTGGATAATTATTTTGGTTACCAAGCAATAGTTTATGGGGGAGAAGATTTTTTTGTATAGGTGGAGAAGATGGAAATACTAGCATAACAGGAAGGCCTGTAGGAGTAAACAATTCAATGACCGATAAGATGTTCAGTACTTTTTCTGCCTGGGGAAACATCTCTTTAGCCTTTGCTTTCTCTCTTGTTCTCATTGAAATACAGGCAAGCTAAACCTGCCCACAGCATTTGCCTCATCATTAATTTGATTGTTCACTTCATTGAATCATTGCTCGAAATGAAGTAATCATAATCTTAAACTCTTACTAGTTACTATCTGCTCCCTAAGAACATCATACTTTGACTAGACACGAGTTAGAGATTTTTTTGCTATCTTACTTCTCAGTTTTCCCTAAAGTATTGGTTGGGATTACTATTGGTAGTAGGTGGGGATATTAAGTGAGGGTAGTGAAGTAAACTCACAACTATTCTACCCAACAATGTAAGATGAGTAGTATATAGGCTGTTTCTTGTAGGGAGATAAGCAATAGAGGAAGGTTGGACCGAAAACTCTTAGACGACACGGATGAAAAAGAAGAGTATGAACTTCAGAGATGGAGGAAGTAATTAATCCATCCACTCATCCAGATGATGTCTGACAAGTGTTAATGATATTCTGCAGGACATACTGAAATCATCCTTCAAAGAGAAGCAAGTGATGAAACAAGCCTCCACCATTGGAATCATAGTCTCCAGCTTCTTCTACTTGCTACATGGGACGCTTCACCCTTGGCCACATAGCATTTGGAAACGGAGCGCCTGGAAACATCCTGACGGATGATCACAGCTTGTGCAACCTGTACCTGCTCATCATCCTCGCCAACCTATGCATGATCATACACCTAGTTGGGGCCTACCAGGTGTTCACACAGCCAGTGTTTGCACTTATTGAGTCTTGGACCATGACAAGGTGGTCCCACGTCCAGTTCATCACGGGAGAACGCGTTGTTCATATCCCGCTTGTAGGCTTAAGTATTAGGTTTAGTGTGTTTAGGATGGTTTGGAGGACATCATATGTTGTGCTTACAAGTGTGATGGCGATGATATTTCCTTTCTTCAACGCTATTCTTGGCCTTCCTGGGGCTATCGCGTTCTGGCCCCTCACCATTTATTTCCCGGTAGAGATGTACATTGTTCAAGCAAGGATTTCGAGATTCTCCTTCACATGGATTTGGTTGCAGATACCGAGTTTCTTTTGCTTGGTCATCTCAGTTCTTGCTGCTGTCAGATCAATCTGTCATGCACTTTAAGCCATTTCAATAGAAATTTAGCCATTTCCATTTACTAATGCCAAACATTTAATTTTGATATTGCAATCAAGATGTGTAAAAAAACTCTTTTATGAGTTTTATCTTATAAGGCATTGGAATATGCAATTGAGACAACAGATAATTTTCTGTTCACTTGCTTCAGTATGGTTGTTTAAAACCCAGGAAGTCATAATTATATACGTGTAGGCTAGTTATTGTTTATTATGGAGTATTATTATTGTTGGTGTTGTTGTAGTCACACAAAAAATACAAGATCTTGTATTCACTACAAAAAATACAAGATTTGTAACAGGATTTTGTCACGAAAAATCGGAGCGGCATGTATATCACGGAATAGTCACAAGAATGGAGTGTTAGTCAACGACAATCAATTTGGCACAAAATATTCAGTGATGAAGTTTGTTGTGCTAGATTCCGTGACTAATGCATGACAAATTGTCAAGAATTGATGACCCAAGAGTGAAAGCTTGTCTGACCATTTGAAATCCAGTAATATATTTTGTCATGGAAGTATTCTGTGATAAAATACCATTTCTATTTGGTCACTCAAATTTTCCTTGACAAAATGAATTATTTAGATTTATCACAGAAATAGGTAAAATTTCTTAAAGGGTGAGTTTGTGAGGGAATAATTAGTGACAAATTGTCTCACACTCAAAAACCCAAACAATTGTGTCATTCATGGATATCCGTGGCATATTCAACATCAATTGATATTTTTAAAATTTGTCATAGATAGGGGCAATGTGACTAAATTGTGACAAATATTTGACTTTTCTCACTTTTTGATGATGCGTTACATTTGCATTCTGAGAGCAAATTATTTTGAATTTATCATGACTTTGTCACGGACGATTCCGTGGTAAAGCGTTACCACTATCAACGTACATGTTCACCGAAGTGTTGCCCCCGATGCAATTGACACAAATTATTTTGTGAAATGTCCGTGATAAATTAAAAAAAAAAATAGATTTGTCTTGGATGTTTCCATTACAAATCTGGTATCATATGAACAATCCTATGTATTTTTAGCATGTATTTGTGATCATATATTTTGAAGTTCGAGCACGGTACCTTTTATTAATATTACATGTACGTATGTATGTTTAATGAGTATTGAGTATATTGATAATGTTCTCATATAAGACGTTTAATAATTATGTGGGTATGTCACACATGTTTAAGCATGTTAGATGTCAAAATTAGTTGATGCTGATTGTTACTACGGTTTGAGCATATATTGTACGTATGAATTGAATGTGGTAAGCATGTATAAAGTGGAAGAAACTCAATATTGTAGAATAACCTCTCGCCAACTTTCATAAAAAGTGCAAATAAGCTCTTTTACAGGAGGTTCTGTCCGACCGTCGCCATTTGGGGCGGTTTTCGGTGAAATTTTTTGATGAAATTTTTTGAGCATCTTCTTCATTAAGTCTAGTTTACTCATATCAAATTTCAGCTAAAAAATCAATCGAGAAGGCAGCCAAATGATTTTCTGAAATATACTACGCTGCCTAACTGCGCAGTTATCTTCAAAAATTCATTTGACTGCCTTTTTGATTGAATTTTTAACTGAAATTCAGTGTGAGCAAACTAGACTTAACGAAGAAGATGCATAAAAAATTTTATCAAAAAATTTCACTGGAAACGGCCCCAAATGACGACGGACGAACAAAGCCTTCTATAAAAGGGTTTATTTGCACCTTTTATGAAAGTTCGAGGGCTTATTTGGTACCTTAATTCTTTAAGTGTCTAACTTTAATTCAAAGAACCAAATTAAGGATGTTTTTACTTAGACTGTAATTTGTTGGTCTGGTCCGGTCTGAACTGGTCTGGACTGATTTCTTTGTATTTTTTATAACTATCCAAGTCTGGTCTGGACTGATTTCTTTAATTTTTTACAATTTAAGTAAAAACATCCTAAAATAGGAGTATATGTTTATAAATTAGATGAGACAAAATAGGAGTAAATAAAATTTAAATTGTCAAAATAGAAGTAAAATTTACATTTTTCCTAAATATGAGTTACTACTTCCGTTCCTTAAAACTTTGCCAATTTTCCTTTTTTGGATGTCTCACTAACTTTGTCATTTTCCCTTTTAAGTAAAGAATTTGTAGTTCCAGTTAATTCTATCTCCTCTTCACAAAATTCAACAACACAGTTTTTACTTTATTAATCCAACACAGATTATAGTTGGAGGTAGTATTATATATAGTTGGAAGAAAATAGCTTTGGAGCTTGGTCACCCCTGCTGTCGCCGCTAGACCCCTGACCACTGGCTCCACCACAGATCTCTACTCGAGCTCACCCGCTATCACTCTCGGACTACCCGTCACTGACAGACTGACTTTGATTAGGTAGGACAATTATTTAGAGCACAAGTCCTGTTTAGGAATTTAAGCAACAATTACTCATATTTAGGGCAATAATAACTGCAATTAGTAAGGCCTCTCTCCATAATAATTGCCCGGAGGATAATAGTAACACGTGATGAAGGTGGCAGACGTGTTTTCCAGCTTGTTCTTGTTGCACAGAGCCTTAGCGCATCCCACAAACCTCGTCGTCTGCCAAACCACCTGAGTGTAATGTCCGCACATCTGCCCACCCGCGCAAGAATTTTGATTGTAGCTGTAGTATATCTTCTCATCCACCCACATCTTCACCGCCTCCTCCGGGCTCATCTCGCCGCTGTACCAAGCCAGGTTTTCGCCGTAAATGTCGGTGCCGGAGTGGACAAGGTTGGAGCAGTCTACGTTGGGGCGGGACATATTCCGAGCGTACTCTTCCGCGTAGGCCGCCACGGTCGTGTTCCATTTTAGGTTCCCGAGTGGGCCTCGTCCGCAGCTAAAGCGCTTGTTCACGTTATAGCGAGCCGTGTTGTGGGGTTTGAGGAATTGCTCGCGGAACTCCAAGCTGCTGCTCGGAGCAGCTGTTACAAGGGAGAGCCACGCAAGTCATGACTCAGACAGTGCACCTAGAGTGCGGAGATTACCAGCCAAGTTTGATGATTTCATAATTAATTAGTTGCACTATTTTAGGAGGCTATTACTCCATTATTCCATGTAAATAAGTAGTGGCAAGCGGCTCCTGAGACCATGCCATTATATTAGGTTGCAGTTAATTATTTCATTGTCTACTTATTTCCAGAAAATGAATGAAAGGGGAGACCCAGCAATTCACCAACTCTTTAGCCTAATCTGAGAATTCTCTTCCTTCCTTTTAATTCTTTCTGGAGGTTCCACCCTCATATAGTGGAAAGTTCATTCTGCATCATACCAAATTGGTGCTTTCATTGAGTTCACACCATGACCACCGATGGAATGCAAACACGATACCGAGCTCTTGAAGAGCAGATCCAACAGTTAAAGCTTGCCCATGACGAGTCCGAGGAATGGCGGCAAGCCATGAGCGATCAACAACAAGCCATCTCCAACGCTCTCGCTGCTCTGGCCACCCGCTTAGATCCAGAGCATACACAAACCTCCAGCGACACGCACCAGTCAACATCAACTTCTGTGACCGCCAGTCTTGCTCAACCTAAACCGCCACGATGCGACTTGACAACCTTCGACGGTAGCAATCCGTTGGATTGGGTTTTCCTGGCGGAAAAATACTTTAGTTTTTGGGACATTCCGGAGGAGCAAAAGATCGACAGAGCCAGTTTTTACATGATCGGGCCAGCCTTATCATGGTATAAGTGGATGTACAAGAACCAACAATTGTCTTCCTGGCGGGCATTTACAGTGTCGCTCGAGCAGCGATTTGGGCCATCTACCTATGTCAATCACCGTGCCACCCTCTTCAAGCTTACCCAAACCAACACTGTCACCAGCTATCAAGAGGAGTTTGAAAAGGTATGTAACCGAGTCACCGACCTTTCTCCTCAAGCAATTTTGGATTGCTTTATTTCCGGACTGCAGCCCGACATCCAGTCTGAATTGGCAATTCTCAAACCTGCAAATTTGTGTGATGCCATTGGATTGGCAAAATTGATTGAGGAAAAATTATCCCATTCCAGGTCTACTCCTACACGGTCCATTCCATGGCGAAACCCACAGCCTGAACCCATCAACTTCCCTCAACTTTCACACAGAACTTCTGGTCAGCCACCCTTGCTCCCTCTCCCGCCACCATCTAACCCCCAACCTAATCGCCAAACACCCCTACCCATCAAACGACTCACCCCAAGTGAAATTCAGAACCGCCGTGCCCAGGGGCTTTGCTACAACTGTGATGAACGGTATTCTCCTGGACACCGCTGCCGGACAAAACAGTTTCTGCTGTTATTAGCTGATGAACCTCCTCTGGTTGCGGTAGGGGAACATGACGAAGAGTTCCCACTGTCATCTCAGGTTGAAACAGCTAATGACGTCAGAGCATCCACCCCACCCGTTGTTGCCGAGGAAGTCATACCGGCCATATCACTGCATGCGTTGGAGGGATTTAATGGCCCGAGAACCTTTCGCCTCACTGCCCTTTTGTACGGGAAGAAATTTACTGTTTTGGTGGATACCGGAAGTTCCCATAACTATATCCAACCACGGATTGTCCGACATCTACACCTCCACGTGGACCCCTCCACCAGTTTTCTAGTCGCAGTGGGTAATGGGGAGCAACTCAAAAGTGAAGGAACCATCCCCGGTTTACCCTTCATCATTCAAGGGACTGAGTTCCAGGCTGATTTTCATGCGCTCTAGTTCTCTGGAGCCGATATGATCCTTGGCGTCGAGTGGTTGGAAGGGTTAGGGAGAGTGACCACTGATCATAAGAACCTCACTATGGAGTTCTTCCACAATGGGCAGCCCGTCGTGTTAAAGGGTCATTCACATTCAGGTTCTCATGAAATTACTTGCCATCAACTAATCAGGTTATGCAAAAGGAAATCCATTGCTCAGTGCTTATTCCTGTTCCATGACCCACCACCCGTGGCTCCCACAACAATTCCTTCACCCATCCAAACTGTCCTCAACAGGTTTCCTACTGTTTTTGACGTTCCGCAAGGCTTACCTCCTAATCGCCCCCTGAATCACAAAATCCACTTGTTACCCCATTCCAGCCCAGTCAACGTCCGGCCGTACCGTTATCCTCATTACCAAAAAAATGAAATTGAACGGTTGGTTCACGACATGCTTCGTGATGGCATTATTCGGCCATCCACTAGTCCCTTTTCTTCTCCAGTCCTATTAGTCAAGAAAAAAGATGGCAGTTGGCGGTTTTGTGTTGACTATCGTGCCCTCAATGCTATTACCATCAAAGACCGTTTCCCTATGCCTACTGTTGATGAACTCCTAGACGAGCTACATGGTGCAACAATCTTTTCTAAGCTTGACCTTCGCAGTGGGTACTACCAGATCCGGGTTCAGCTTGATGATGTGCCGAAAACTGCTTTTCGCACTCACGAAGGTCACTATGAGTTTCTTGTAATGCCCTTCGGGTTAACCAATGCGCCAGCCACTTTTCAAGCCACTATGAACTCAGTTTTCAAGCCCTTTTTAAGACGCTTTGTTCTGATTTTTATGGATGATATCTTGGTTTTCAGTCCATCCCTGGAAGATCATGTACAACATCTCACTTTGGTCCTAGCAACGCTCCAGGAGCATCAGTTTTATGCCAAGGAGTCCAAATGCAATTTTGGGAAACCAACCCTTGAGTACTTGGGACATATTATCTCTGCCTCAGGTGTCTCTGTGGATCCCGCTAAAGTACGTGTTGTGCTTGACTGGCCTACCCCAAAAACAGTAACTGAAGTACGTGGTTTCCTTGGCCTCACCGGGTATTATCGTCGATTTGTTAAAGGCTATGCAAATATTGCTGGTCCGTTGACAGAGTTGCTCAAGAAAGGAGGTTTCACTTGGGGGCAGGAGAGGCAATGGCATTTCGCCAACTCCAGGACGCTTTGACAACAACTCCCGTTTTGCATCTCCCGAATTTCGCATTACCTTTCACCGTGGAGACTGATGCCTCCGGCTGTGCAGTTGGTGCCATTCTTTCACAAGAGAAACACCCAGTGGCATACTTTAGCAAACGGCTCCCTCCACGATATCAATCTGCCTCGGCATATAGTCGAGAGATGTATGCTATCACTGCTGATGTCCATAAATGGCGTTCTTATTTACTGGGCACCACGTTCACCATCCTCACTGATCATCAGAGTCTCAAGCAATTAGTATCACAAACCATCCAAACTCCAGAGCAACAACGATGGCTCACCAAACTTTTGGGCTTTGACTTTTCTATAGAATACAAGGCGGGCGTAGAGAATGCTGGTCCGGATGCCCTTTCACGGTGGACTGCAGACGCCCAAGCAACTATGGCGGCTATCACATTCGTGACCACCCCCTTGTTGTCAGAAATCAGAGATTTGACACGCTCCGACTCCACGACTCAACAGCTAGTACGAGGTCTTCAACAGCCCACTATGGCAGATCCTCGTTACCAGTGGAAAAATGATCTTCTTTATTTTCAGGGCAAAATCTATGTCCCCGCTAATCAAGAGTTACGCACCAGACTGCTCCACCTTTATCATGATACACTTCTGGGCGGTCATTCAGGGGAACAAAAGACGTACTCTCGGCTCGCTGCCAGTTTTTATTGGCCAGGAATGTATTCTCAAGTCAAACGCCACGTCCATGAATGTTCAGTTTGTCAGCAGATTAAGCCTGAAAATGTGAGAGTCAAAGGGCTGCTTCAACCGTTGCCTATTCCAGCTCAGATTTGGGAAGATATTTCCATGGATTTCATTACTTCTTTGCTCATGGTCCGGGGCAAAAGTGTGATATGGGTCATGGTAGATCGACTATCCAAATACGGGCATTTTTGTGCCTTACCAGAAGGCGTTACCGCACCTAAGCTGGCAGAATATTTTGTGCAGGAATATGTACGGTTACATGTGTTTCCACGCTCCATTGTGTCTGATCGGGATCCCCTCTTTGTTAGCTCGTTTTGGAAGGAACTCTTTCGCCTCCAAGGCACTAAACTGAAGCATAGCACCGCATATCATCCTCAAACGGATGGTCAAACGGAAGTGGTGAATCGTTGCTTGGAAATGTATTTACGAGCATTTGCAAGTGATCACCCAGCTAAATGGGTGCACATGTTGCCATGGGCCGAGTACTGGTACAACACCAATATTCACAGTTCTACGGGATTTTCTCCCTTCCATGCAGTCTATGGTCGAGCTCCACCGCCCTTAGTGGGATATTCGGAAGGCGACACACCTATTGCATCCTTAGATACTTCTTTGATGGACCGTCAGGTTCTCATTAGTACCCTCAAGTCAAATTTGCAACGCGCACAACAACGAATGCAGGACCAGGCCAACAAGTCTCGTCGTGACATGGAATTCCAGGTCAATGACTGGGTTTATGTCAGGTTACAGCCACACCGCCAACACTCTGTAGCTCGGCGACACAATCATAAACTAGCCAAACGATACTATGGACCATATCAAGTGTTAGCTCGGATCGGGCAAGTTGCTTACAAACTAGCCATCCCAGAGTCTGCCCGCATTCATCCGGTGTTCCACATTTCCCAGTTAAAATTTTGTCCCAACCCGGCGGCTGCCACACTTACCCACCCTCCACCTTCCCCAACACAGACTCCGGTACCCATCCGCATACTCGACCATCGAACAATCCGGCAGAATAACACACCCCTCCAACAGGTTCTTGTTCAATGGGATACTATCTCACCAACTGAGGCCACCTGGGAAAATTGGCTACCTTTTCATTCTGCATTTCCACACTTCCGCCTTGAGGACAAGGCCGCTTTCCGAGGAGAAGGCCATGTTACAAGGGAGAGCCACGCAAGTCATGACTCAGACAGTGCACCTAGAGTGCGGAGATTACCAGCCAAGTTTGATGATTTCATAATTAATTAGTTGCACTATTTTAGGAGGCTATTACTCCATTATTCCATGTAAATAAGTAGTGGCAAGTGGCTCCTGAGACCATGCCATTATATTAGGTTGCAGTTAATTATTTCATTGTCTACTTATTTCCGGAAAATGAATGAAAGGGGAGACCCAGCAATTCACCAACTCTTTAGCCTAATCTGAGAATTCTCTTCCTTCCTTTTAATTCTTTCTGGAGGTTCCACCCTCATATAGTGGAAAGTTCATTCTGCATCATACCAGCAGCTGCATTGCCGGCCGGCGCCTTCGTCTCCCACACCACTACTACAACCAGTG